CATGTTCTGCACAAAACTAGGGGAATATTTTTAATTGAGTGATTCGATTAAAGCGCTGTTCCAATCTGTGCCAGGTGGTAATTTAATTATAAACTCTATCAATTAGCACTACAAACGCAAACGACTGTGACATTATTATCTCTTCCGGAATGGTATATTCCATAGTGTTGATGTAACTGTTTTGATCTCTATGAATCATTATGAGAAACCATTACTGCATCACATCTTTCAAATTGTAAAATTTATCTCATGACTGGTGTAATAGTTTCGAATATCCAGTCTTTTCTCAAATTGTTTTAACAGGTCTACATCATGATACATGGCTGCCTATCAATTGCTGGGTAACTGTGCATCCCTAAATAGTAGAGGCATCTCATGATAACTTTCTACTTTTTGCTGAGTGCCACTTGATATGATTTCCATAAACTTCATGTCTTCCTGAAACATAATCTTATAATCTGTATCTTTAAAGTCTTTTAGCAATGTGACTTCCTTATCATAAACATTCAGTTAAGATCAACTAATAATGCTCAAAGTTTCTACTCTATCCATGTTGCAATTCTAAGGTGAAATAGCACATCAAAGCCAAACATCAAAGAAATTTTATTAGATGATTATTATCTTCTTCATGACAAAATCTCTTCTTTCGTCCATGTATTTCTGGGATAGGTTGCGATAATCTTGAATTTGTTATTTCTCGTATTACATGATATGCTTCTGGTTGAGTTATGAACCATCTGTATCTTTGTCGCTGAAGTCCGTCCAAGTTGAAATTTGAAGCCACGGGTCAATCTTTGTTCTGAAGTCTTCTTCAATGACATAGAGAAGTTCAATACTCCTTTCAGGAAAAAAATGCACTTCCTAGGAACCATCTGGGATTCATGGATAATAATCTGCTCACGTCCTCCATTGCCTAGAATCCTGTTTTGAATTTTGTTTTTCAAATGAATAATGATGGTGGTGGTGGTGGTGGTGAATGATGTTATCATTGGGTTCAAAAGTAGCTGAACGGCTCATAGCAATTGACATGACATTTCTGCTTGTCACGTTGGAGTTTGCAATACAAGCTAGTCATTGCCATGTCGACCATAATTTCGTCCCTGATATGAATGTATATTCCATGAATTACTTGTGATTACATTATATTTTTGCAAAAAGTTATTTGTATGTAAAGTTGTTTTTATCAGGGCACTCATAATAACATATCATTGATGACAGGGACAATAACATATCTATTTTAGAGACAGAGTTTTCTCTTTATTCTTGGGTCGTCTTATTGATTTCATCAAAGCAGACATATATAATTTGTTGAGTATAATTAGTGGGAATGTATATGCAATGAGGTTATGAATTCTCGTTTTAATAATCTCAGTTAAACAATCAATTTAGTGAAATCACCATGGAGACTACATATTTGAAAAATAAAAGACTCTTGTATAAGAAATTGTATTAACATATACCTGTCCTCCAAGATTGTGGCAGGGTATGTGTTCTGGAACTAATACAGCAAAAATGTCATTTGGTGTTGGGAAATTGTTTTCCCTCCAAGAATTAATATATGGTGTTCTTGAGATGTCTTCTAAGAATATTGGTGCTACAAAGTGTCAACTTCGTGACTGAGACCCAGATTGCATTTGAACTAACATGAATGTTTTTGGTGTCAGTGCCACAAAGTGTCAACTTCGTGCCTGAGACCTAGATTGCATTTGAACTAACAAGAATGTTCATTATGTCAATGCAACAAAGTGTCAATTTTGTGACCAAGACCCAGATTGCATTTGAACAAGAATGTTCTTGATGTTGGTGCTACAAAGTGTCAACTTTGTGACTGAGACCTAGATTGCATTTGAACTAACAAGAATGTTCATTATGTCAATGCAACAAAGTGTCAATTTTGTGACCAAGACCCAGATTGCATTTGAACAAGAATTTTCTTGATGTTGGTGCTACAAAGTGTCAACTTTGTGACAGAGACCCAGATTGCATTTGAAATGACATGAATGTCAACTTTGTGACAGAGACCCAGATTGCATTTGAACTAACATGAATTATCTTGATGTCAGTGACATAAAGTGCCAATACCTGACAATTTCAATTAGCTAATAAATAATTAACTAATACGTTTATATACAATTCAACATATTTTTTGAAGGCAAGTTTCAAGAACTTTGGATATAATACAAAACAGTACATATTAATTGCAGTAAGAAGGAACTTGACTACTAACTAAATGTCTTGAGCTCTACCAGATTTTTGCTCAACACTTATTCTTGCACTTCTATGCTAAACTGCAGTCGTTGCATGTTCGAGTGTAAACATACCATAGTCGGACATATGACCCACCACCTTGCACTACAATTTCAAGAGTGCATTCACTGCATTACATATCACACATTTTGATTTTTCCTTTGTGTTCATGCAAATGAAACCATTGCGCTGATCAAGTTTTTCATTTATTTTGTCAGTTAGGAATTGTAACTTCTGTCAGGTTGGAGTGTTTATTAGATGCAAATTTCAATGAACGTAGAAATCATATTCCATGTTTGGAATTACAAGTAGGTCCAGTCAAACACTAGCATCTGCAGACATTAACCAAGGTTTCTCAAAAGCCATATCAGCTGGTGCTATGAATAACACTGTTATGGACATTGCCCCGCAAATAAGTATATGGCATATGGTCCACTATATTAACAGTGGTTGGTTTGAACACAAAAAAACACACATACAAATAAAGAACAAAAGCAGAGATATGTAAAAAAGATTTAATACACTTTTTTTTTTTAAATCATCAGATGGTGTTCATGTCAGTTTGGTAACACACAAGCATTTTCACTCTTGTATCAATGCAGTATTTACTTGACAGCTTGTCTGGTCCACAGTTTGCATTTGCTGATTGAAGTGAGAGAATTCTAATTGTCAGATAAAAACAACATGCGACTCATCCATCCAGTGCATAGTTATTTTAATCTTATTTGATTTTCCCTTGTCAACAAGATGCATGTACAATATTGCTTGTTTATCCAAGTAATGAATTCAAATTTTAAAAACACTTTCCATATTTGCATCTTCAACTTTAGCGTTTCTTGCTCAATGGACCAGCTATAAAAGTTGCATATAATCCATCATTTTATTGATTTTGCTAATGTTTTAGAAATTTAGTGACTGAAAGGTTTGTTGCAAAAGGTTGATTGTTCGTGAAAAGCCATTTGCAAACTATTTTTTTTAATTATTTTTTTCTCCAAAATTTCTACCTGTAAAACTATAAAACGACTAGACGTACATTACAGAGCATAAAGAGTTGCCTTTCTTTTTGATTTTAAAAAAATAGTTATTTTGAATTACTTTAAAAATTGAGAAGACTTTCAAGAGTAAACAAAGTTAAATATTCTTCCATCGAGTGATCTTGGCCACTTCATTGTTACATAGGTTTGGTTTCTCACATGAATATTGCTGCCAAAATCTAAAACAAGCAGCCTGTCGGCTGAGATAGCTCCGCTGTTAGCAATGCACATGGCAATTAAAGAACAGAAGATATCATTAGAAAATGAACAAATCTGAGAGAGGTCCACATGTAGTACCTATATGTATAATATATCAAAGCAATTGGATTTGCGGTTTTCAACAAGAAGTCGAAAATATCACTTTTTACCAAAAATTACAAAAATATTCATCAAAATTAGAGAATTAAAGATATCATTATGAAATGAACAAATCTGAGAGAGGTCCACATGTAGTACCTATATATGTAATATCAAAGCAATTGGACTTGCGGTTTTCAACAAGAAGTCGAAAATATCACTTTTTACCAAAAATTACAAAAATATTCACCGAAATTAGAGAATTAAAGATATCATTACAAAATGAACAAATCTGAGAGAGGTCCACATGTAGTACCTATATATGTAATATCAAAGCAATTGGACTTGCGGTTTTCAACAAGAAGTCGAAAATATCACTTTTTACCAAAAATTACAAAAATATTCACCGAAATTAGAGAATTAAAGATATCATTACAAAATGAACAAATCTGAGAGGGGTCCACATGTAGTACCTATATATGTAATATCAAAGCAATTGGACTTGCGGTTTTCAACAAGAAGTCGAAAATATCACTTTTTACCAAAAATTACAAAAATATTCACCAAAATTAGAGAATTGAAGATATCATCATGAAATGAACAAATCTGAGAGAGGTCTACCCAAGGTACATATACACCAAGTATCAAAGCATTCAGGCTTGTAGTTTTCAAGAAGAAGTCGAAAAAGTAAAACATTGACACGGACGACGACGACGGACGACGACGACGGACAATCACTCATATGATAAGCTCCGCTCGACAAAGTCGACAGCGGAGCTAAAAAGTAAAATACAGCATAGCTGATGGTATAACCAATGTGGTACTGTGAATGCCCTGCAAAATACACAACACAGAATAAGACAGAGGACCAAACAGTCACCAATTCTGATGAAAATGAACACTTTGTGTAACAAATTTAGGATTTTTTTTAAAAAAGAAGGGGATAATCATGTAATTTCTGACACATTTTTGAAAATGCTGTTAAATTGCCATTCACAGCACAACATTTAAATATCATGTAAACAAATTTTTTTACAAGCCGCATTGCTATTGAGCATCTAATGGTTTTCCACTAGATCCTGAAATCATGCAAAGCTTAGTCTAGTTATCTAGTACAAGAATATTTGAATGTATGAATATAAACAAGTCTCAGATACATGTACATTAAGGATGAGAATACAAAACAAGTAGCAATAAAACAAAGCATGAAAAAGCAATCATGTTGGCCATGGTATGATAAGTGTCATTATACAGAAATAGTTAACTTTAATTTGTTGAACCTCTTAAAAATTTTTTTTTTTTTTTGTTATTTACAGATACAATTAAAGTACTTCAGTAAAAACATATCTATACACTTCCAATTAATGCCTGTAACCTTTGGCACTTTCATTATTGGGTCACACCTGAGATAATACCATAGATTGTTGCCAATTCTAGAAACTATTAAAAACACTAAAATATGTTCAATTGCATAAATGATTTAGACCCTTAGGTTTTTTTGAGCTCCAATTCATTTTATCCATTGTGCACTGAATGAAATTTACAAAGACAACATGTATTAAGACATTACAATCCATCAAAATATTGTAAAAAAAAGGTTTTTACTACATTAGACAAATTTGAATTTGATAGTGTGCAACAGAAAGAGTTGTATAAGTGGCAATATGCGAATCACAATCTTGAACGATAAGTCACTGAACCGCTATAAAATGACTTAAAATTGTCAAGTCATCTTACCTTAACGTGGGTATTTGAATTTGATTTCTCGCAGTCCACTGAAAGTAAATCCGCAGTGTCTCAGATTAATGAAAAAGTATGATGTAATTTCCATAATATCGAATATGAAAGCGATTGAGTTGCTTTCCAAACTGCCTTCCTTGAACCACTTTTCTTTGTTGACTTCTTGGTTTAACATGCACCAAGGGAATAATTGGCAATGGCATGGCAAATTTTGGAGGTGTTAGCATGTATTAATTAAACAATGATTCCATTTTTACATCCATGCAGAGCCATATGAGAAATATGTGCATGGCTTTGCTTTGTGTCATTGGTCCATGGTAGATTTGAGCACACTCAAACACATCAGAACAGCACCCTCTATTGTCAATCAAAGAAATTAATTTTGCAGCAATGTAAAAAAAAAACATCTAGAGGTTACTTTCCCTTTTTCTGGATCTTCTTAATGATTCCACGTATTTTTTTAAACACTCCTGTTGACTGAGTTTCATTATCATGTGCGCGATAAGGGGATATCCCAGATGCAAACTTGCTGGCATCAGGGATACCCTTCAGGCTTTTTTGAATCCCATTTTTAGACTCGGAATCTGAATGACTTGGCGTCTTTGAGTGTGAGTTGGTTCCATTGTTTATGTCTTGGTCACTTTCTGTACTGTCTTGTTTATTACTTGTCTGCTCATCCAACATTGATACAGACATATTGATTCCTTTTTCAGATGTACTATCATTGTTTTCACACTCAGCAGTCCTGCCATTTGAAGACATTTCCTCATTGATTGTGGAACTAACGGTTTCATTATCAGAGTTATCAGTATAGCTATCAGTCGTAATAAATTCTTCATCTCCAATGACAACTGTGTCCCCATCTTTAATGATATTGTTCTCATCATCTTCATTCATGGTATCTAGACCACCAGTATCCGTACTGGTGCCTTCTGCCTCTTCTAAAGCGGCCAATAGTAGTCTCTGCTTCTCTTCAAGTTCATCTAGCTCAGGAGTAGTACATCGCGAGTTACTTGCACTGTTCTCGCTATCTGAAGTGTTTGACTGCATATGACGGGGTGTGTTTCCTGGGGTACTTGGAGGGGTGTCAGACGGTAAAGGTGGAGGGGTTGCTGCAGCAAAGTCTGGAGGAAGAGGTGGTTTAAAAACAAGACCATTGTCCATTTCTTCATCACCTACAATGCAAGAGAAATAGAACATTATAGATTTGGAATGTCATGTTACAACTTTTTATTCAATCTAACCCAAATCTTCTTGGTAATCCTGCTTATATTTCAACCAATGTGCGGTGTTATTTTGTTTCAGACCAATTTACAGCTCTTTCCGGAACAGCATCCGCATTGCAACCAAGACAGTTCACACTTTGATGTTGATACAATGTATCTAACCATGTAGATTACTTCTACAACAAAAGAGGTATTACCACTATGGCACCAAGTGAGATTTGTTTTGTCTGAGGAGACTTAACTTACGTAAACATACTGTCAATTAACCTAGATTAAAACACACAATGAATGTTTGCAATAGCCATTTATTTCAAAAGAGGGTTATTTTTAAAAATCGTGATTGTACAATTGAACGCAAAAACAAAACAAAAAACAAAAGAAATGTTACTATCAAGTATATAAAAAAAGGTTAGATTAATTAATGAAAAAGCATGATATGGAAACATGTATTCAGTGTTTACGGACGGATTTGGCAACGACTGTTCGGTAGTTGACGGTGGCATCATGCTTCCCCATGGATATGGATATGCGTATGGGTACTGATAGTACATGGGGTAATACGGGTTGTACACGTTATTTAAAGTCGGTGTAATCCCATACGACTGCGTCATCAAACCATCGTTCAGTGGTGCTATCGGTGGAGGTACGGGTCCTATCGATGGAGGTACGGGTGCGATCGGTGGAGGTACGGGTCCTATTGCTAGAGGTACGGATGCGATCGATGGAGGTATGATGCTTGTAGTACAAGTTGTCGGTACTTCACATTCGGGCATATTTTGTTTCTCGGTGTTCGGTCGGCTAGCTTCTTTGGGGTTTTTTTCGGGAAATTTCACGGGAAATACCGAGTTCATTTCTAGCCATGTGCCGGTTTCGTTTTCTTCCGATTGTTTTCTTTGTTGAAATTGTCAATAATTGTTTGGAATAACGCAGATTCCTCGTTTGTCGGCACTTTCCCTTTGAAGTGTTTATCTAGAATTGCCTTGTCGACATTCAGTACGGCGATTCGTGTGGCCAAACTTCCACTTGCTGTTTGAAAAAGATATTTTTTCTGGTTGCTACGAATCAAGGCAGCAAGTATTTTTTCTCCAAACGTTGATTGCGATGACTTGTATGCCTGTTTTTTACGTCTAACGCCGTTTTCTTCCCTTTGATTTCTGTTAATAATTTTACCATTTAGTTTGGCGACGTCCTTTTTTTCTTCCTCGTGACCACGGGCATTCAAATCACCGCACTGCTCCGCTGTAACGCATTTGTCGTTATGACATCGGTTGGCACGATGACCAGCATATAGGTGGCAATTTCCACATTGGATTCTGCCAGGGATTTTTTCTATTTGCTGGCAGTATTTGTTTGTAAGACTTCTGTGCTGGGACTCCAGATCTTGGAGTTCAGTTTCCATCTCGTCAACTTCTTTTTCACGTTCACGGAGCAGAGTTTTCGATTGGTGAACTGTACGTAAACGTGTCAACAAAATCATCAGTGTCTTCCCGCGTATGACTGCCGTCTTCTAAGTCTGCGAACAATGTGCGGGGCTGGAGAGTGTCACTTTCGTTTCGCCGAGTTGATACTTTCTCTATTGGCTCGTTATCATGTGGACTCTCAATACCCAAGCGTGAGGTCGGTGTCTGTAGCTTTGCTACAGCGTTGACGATCATACGTCGATGAACTGCGCTGATTTTGGTGGAAAACAGGTCCAAGTCTTTCGGCTT